TTAGTCCAGTGGTGTCCCCACAGTGTGCTGACTGTGTCCCGAACCTCCTAAGATACCTGTCTCATCTTTCATGCTAGTTTAAGACTTCGTTGCTTTCTACCCCAACCTAACACCGCCAGCCACAAGATCTGCTGGCACCCTGTGGTACCTCAGTTCCCTCTCTGGCGCTATGGTAAGTCTATGAAAATGTGAGTGTAAACTTTTTCCTTTGCAGTTTTCCTCCAGGTTCTGTTAAGTGGCAGTCAGGCCCTTTGGGATCGCCACTTCTCTTTGCACTTCACTTCCTTGCATGTCCCCTTGCATGTGCCTTAGTGTACTGCACATGCACGTGCATTCACACATGTGTGTGCACCCACAAGCAGTTTTAGTCACTTAGCCACGACCCCGTAGTGACCAATGAACGTTATGGCTCCATATGCTGTTATGCTGTCAGTTTTCCCTTAAAATCCACTCCAAATGGTGAATCTGACTCAAGGAAAAATTAAACAGAAGTAATTCAGATGAGCATTTCATTTTCTATTGTTTGGTAGAATTTAGTTCATTTCTCTACATGTAGGTCTTAACACATTGCTATAATTTTATCAGCTAAACTCTGATTTTGCTTTTCTCTGATTGCAAAGTCTTGGTCTATTAAAGTCACTTTATTATGCCCTAATCATGCCTGTAGTCTCAGTAATTGTAACTGCTTATGCTGCCTGGTATTTTGTAAGGTATGAAAGTAAAGCTGGTTGAGTGAGTAAATGAGAGCCAGTGTAAGAGAGTTAAGCATAATTTGGGAATAAACAGATTCAGGTTTGAGACCCAACTGTGCCATGTGATGTTGAATACTTGTTTAAATTTCAGTCCTCTAATCTATATAAGTGGGAAATAAAACTTCCTTACTCAAAGCAGTATAGTAAAGATTAAGTGAAATAATGCCTATAAAGCACACAGCACAATTTCCGGCATGTAGAGTATTCAATATGCACTTTTACTACTTCTTCTTATGAATGAAGGTAACTTAGCTCAGAACCAATTGTATTAAATATACATGTATATGTAAGAATTATTGAGGAGTGAGGGAATGAGGGAGGGTGTCTTTTTTAGTGGGGAAGAAAGAAAACAGGCTGGAGGACAGAGAAAACCTGGAGACGTCATCTGAGGCTGCACAGCTAAGACTATGACCCAACATCTCCATTTGGAACCATCTGTCAGCAGCCAACCCAACTGGAAGTGAGCTTGAGCTGGGACGACCAGGCAAGATTGTTCTTATGGCCAACCAGTCAAGGTTGCTCTTTGGCAGCAAACCAGGCCAAAGAACAGTTCTAATTTTATCATAAATAATATTCTTCTCTCTAAACAGTTCTCATATGAGGCAGCTTGGAGAACTTGATACTGATATTTATAAAGTAAAAACATTTTATGACAGCATTTTCATAATATTTTTGTACATATTTTTGATTAAATTTTCCAATGACACTGGATCATGTTTTTCTAGCTTAACTGTCAAATTGTTGCATATTACATAGAAATACTTTTTGGGGGGTACTGGTGACTGAACTCAGGACCTTATGCTTGCCAGGTAGGCATTTATGCCACAGAGCTATCTCCCCAGTCCCTTAGATATGAACAAAATTATGAAAAAACGTCCTTACCCATCTTATATATATATATATAAGTTATACTTATAAGGATAAGAATTTAATGTCTTCTAGTGTTATGTACATATTATAAGCTAAATCTTTCAGATTTAGTAATGGTAAGATCAGTATGAATGAGCTATAAACTAGTACGATATCTATTTTCAAGGTGCAGTTAAACATCAATAGCAGCAACAATTAACAAATGAGACTACATCAGTCTGAAAGGCTTCTGTACAAAAAAGAAAAATCAGTCAGTAGAGTGAAGAGACAAGCTACAGAATGGGAAAAGAATTGTTCTAGTTGCTGTTCAGACAGGACTAATATTAGGATGTACAAACAACTAAAAATTAAATATCCAGTGAAGAAATGGGCAGGAGAAATGAACACACATTTTGCAGAGGAAGAAATACAAATCGTCAACAGAGAGAGAGAGAGAGAGAAAGAGAGAGAGAGAGAGAGAGAGAGAGAGAGAGAGAGAGAGAGATTTCATCATCTCTGACTATTAGAGAAATGCAAATTAAAACAGCTTTAAGATTCCATCTTGCTCCAGAAAAAAAGGGCCAATCACTAGCAAATCAAATAGCAACACACACTGGTGCAGCTGTGTATGACAGGAACCCTCCCTCGCTGTTGGTGGGCTCACACGCTAGTGAAACCATTATGGAAATCATACGGGGTTTTCTCAGAGAACTGCAATTAGAAATTCCCTATGACCCAGGGATCCCCTGCCAGGTACCTTACTCAGAGATCTTGGGTCATCATACTAGAGCAATACACGCACACCGATGTTTACAGAAGCACCATTTGTAGTGGCTAAATCCTGGAAGCAGCCTGTATACCTATCGACAGATGACTGGATAAAGAAATGTGGTATTTGTGTATAACGGAATCCTATATGGCTACACAAAATGACAAATTTGAGACATTTGAAGGAAAACAGATACACCTGGAAAACACTATGGTGACTGAAATAAACCAGACAAACAAGCTTAAATACTGTAGGATGTCTCTCATTTGAGTGCGGCAAAGTACAAAGAAAGAAAATGATAAAGGATGGATAAACAGGAACTAAGGGATGGATTTCTTGCCACAGGAAAAGTGGTCCAAGGGAACAAGAGTGCGTGGCGAGGGGAGAGGGAGGGGAAACTGGATGGTTGAAGCCACGCCATGTACAGGAACCCAATTAACTTAAACAAGATACGTCGCAGCGGAGCTAAAACGAAAGTCTCCAGGGCCAAACCACCCCCCCTCTGAATTTCCGTAAGAGCCATGGAACTTACTTGGGATAATTTATAGACTGAATAAAGGGCAGAATCTCAGAATCTTGACTAGATGGAGGCAGTAACAAATCTCGGAACCGTTCTGTCAAAAGAAAAATAAATAACAAGCTGTGAAAATACAAATTTAGTTACACTGTTTCTACTGTATGTAATTTATTTAAAAAGCACCTCTCCCACCATTGTATATACTACCAAAACACATGTTTATGTCTCTTAGAAGTCTGTACTGATTTTTGTGATTAAAATATTTGAGTCCCTGTAAATATGAAAAAGAGCAAGTATTCATTAGTATAGGCCAATTAACACCCTGTAATTGGGTTAGGTAAGAGATATATGACCAGCACACATACTAGGACATGCGTGACATCATTATTAATCTTAGTGATGCAAATTAAAACCATATACACCATTAGATAGCTCTCACATTACATAGAATTCACCTCTCAGAAATTAGCCTCGTAAGGTCAAGTATTAGAGACGACTGAAGGCAAACATGTTCTTACGGAGGCAGGAATACAAATGGATCTAATAGTTTGGAAAAATAACTTTCATGTTTCTTAGGCCACAAATAAGAGGTGTTCACAGCGCTGTTCTCTCACAACACGTAAATGGAAAGGACTCAAGGGCCTATTGACTCAAGAGGCAGTAAACTGAGCTATGTTCATAAAGTGGAATATTAATTCAAAAGAAATTAAATGATGTTCGTTACAAATAAAAGCACTGTGAATTATTAGTACAATGCTCAGCAGAAAAAGAACTCAAAATACTTTTACTGAGTTAAAAGCAGCAAAGCAATGTGTTAAGTAAACTACATATAAAATAAAACAAACCAATGAAAACAGAAATGAAACACACAGTTACCTTTCTGAAGGAGAAGGACGATGAACAGAGAATCCAAAGGGCGGGTAGCAATGACTGTTGATACTTCATATGTATTAATTATAGATCATGAACGAATGAATGAATGAGAGACTACAAGAGTCAGATAATAATAACAGAACAGAAGCCAAGCACTGTATTAGTAAGTTGAGTACATATGAGATTTATAAGGAAGTGGCTGAAAGAAGAGAGGAAAGCTGAAAAGTAGGGAAGAAGGAAGGGGAATCAAAGGAAAGACAACAGCATGAAGGAAGAAAGAATCCTCAGAGCTGCCTCAGAAAGTTTACACTGCACAGCTGTTGCTGTTGCTCAGAGCAATCTGTCCACCCTGATGCTGTCCAGGACTAGTCGTTACCTTTATATTCTTCCTAATGGAATGGCCTCCTTGATGTTTGTTTTTACTGTTATATGTATTTGTCTCTCTGCTGCAAGCTCTTCTAGGAGATTTGTATTTCACCACCAGAATTTACAACATTCTCTGATATCATTTTCTGACCAGGAATAACGAAAATTGGAAGTCGTCCCTCAAGAAGAACTTACGTATCAAGATGCTATGTAAGTTCTTTTTGAGAGAATATTTCCAACTTTCATTATCACTGGTTAGAAAACTGTCAAGGTACGTACTCAAAACCCTTAGAAGAATAGCAACAGGAAAAGAGAACCTGTACTTGAAGAGAAACACAGCCAAGCGGAAGTAGAGTATAACACCAAAACTCCCAAGCAGAAGTAAATTAGTCCTTCCTACGCTGAAGGTGAGCAATTTCAACACAAACCTAAAAATCTACATAGAATGACAACAGCTATTTCCTAATTTTTCAAATAGTTAGACCCTAAGTGACTTGTAACCGTAGTGGTCAGAAAGTATTACTAAGATGTGGTGCATATTTTATCTTCATATTAATTCAAACATACACATCAGATATGTTTCATTGACTCTACTCATTTCCGTTTTATCACTACAGCAGTTCTTACAATACACCTGGAGAAGAACTCGTAAGAGCCAAAACTGGAAGCAAGATTATGCTCAGGGCCAGTGGCCCGCAACAGCCCTACATAGTTTTCTCTATTTTTACAAAGAGTTCATATTGTTAGAAATTAAGCTGTTTTACTGAATGACAGACAATATTTAATCTATAAAATTGAAATTTATTTCAACTCTAATGATATATAATCCTTGCTTTTCAGTCTTTTTCTCAATTTACTGGTACCTACTCAGTGGGTAATTTGCAAAGTTTGGACTTTCCCATTTTTTATTCATTTATTTTTTATTAGTACATGTTTGCAGTACAAAAAAGGAAGAGCATCAAAGATGGATGAAGGGAGGAGAGAGGAAAGGAAAAGGAGAAGAAAACAAGAAGTGGTCTAGTATGTACCTGTCCTGCTTCATGTTTACAAAAAGCATGTAGCTTCTTTTTAAACTTGGTCTCAACAACAACAACAAAAAAATGCTTCCAAGTGCAACAACAAAATAAGAACTGTATAAAGAAAAGAGCTGTTCAGTCAGCGACACTGGATACGATATTCTTAGAAATTAAAAAAGGGGCCAGGGAGATGGCTCAGTCGAATAAGCGCTTCCCCGGCAAGCGGAAGGGCTTGAGTTCAACCCCTCATTCCGCCAAAAACAAAAGAGAAGGAAAAAAAAAAAATTAAAAAATCAGTATTTGTAGAACAATTCCTGAACTTATTTAAGAGCAAACAAAAGTCAGAATTGTTAGTGCCCATAACCACCCCAGCACATCATTTCATAAACAATAGGCTTGTCTCTTTTTACACAGCTTTCCAAGAATTTGATCACAAATGTCAGGAGAAAATATTCATGTGCATGACACCTAGTAAGCTGATAAGACACACACACACACATACATACATACACACATACATACACACACACACATACATACACACATACACACACACATACATACATACACACACATACATACACACACATACACACATACATACATACATACACAGCAAATACAACATGAAAGAGATTGCTTATAAATTATGAGAAAATATATAAAAATTAATGTATTTGAAATATTCTTTTACATGAATAACCTCAGCTACTAAATTAATATAAACAAGCATTCCTGAACAGGTCCCATGGCTGTCAAAATATCACATTATACACAAATAGAAAATATACAATATGTAGCTTGAGATTATGTATTTTTTCAAAATTATGTTTCTGTCATCATAAATTCCTAAATGTGAACAATTAGCTTTAATCCATGGTTGTATATCAGATTTTTAATACTTTGTTTATGAGAATAAAGTTAAATGATAAAAATGTACTTAGGAAAATTCAAGGAAATAAAGAGTTTATATTTTATTAATTAGCTTTTCTTCAGTCTCTCAAGTTTGTACTTGTCAGTTATTTAAATAGCAGCCATTCCTATCTGAGTCTGGGGAAAATACCAAAATAATTCAAGTCTGTAATTAAGTAACAAAAATTGCTCAAAGCTCCTTTTCTTCAGCCAAGTGTCAGCTCACATAACTGTTCTCCCAGCAGGCCACAATTATTTCTTAGGATAATGGAACAAATTTCAGCATCAAAACTCATCGTTTCATAGGAGTTCTTAGAACATTTCCATTAAATGTGATTTTTTTAAAAAAATACAGAGGATTTTCTGCAAAATGATACTGTGATGAGCTGACTAATGTGATAATATCTGAACTTGACTTTTTACCGGCGTGGGGCTAGATCTTAGTATCTACAGCTTCTGCACTTTGTTTCTCCTTCTTGTTCTCATTCAAGCACCAAAATGACTCTGAAGCTACCACACCTGCATGGTGTACCACACACCACCACATTAATTTGACTTCTTTGGACTTAAATTATGAGTAAACATTTGATTCTCTTTTAAAAATTTATTTATTTATTTTTTTGTTTGGCACAGGGTCTTGCTATGCAGCTTGGACTATAGTGATCCTCCTGTCTCAGTCTCCTGGTGCTGGGATTACAGGTGTGCACCACCATGCCCAGTTTTGGTGGCCAGCACTGTGGCATGGCATGTAATAACCAGGATTAAACCCAGGTGCTTGCACTTGCCAGGCAGGTGCTCGTACTGCCAACCTATCTCTGCAGTCCTTGATTCTTTAAATAAAAAGATGAGAAAAAATGCTGTTTTCAACTCTAACTGAAACTTTCTGGCACATTGACAGTGACCCACTTTATTCATTTTACCCTTTAGGAGGGTAGTTAATCTCTAAACACCCCTGCTATGTGGAACACACCAAATTCATTAGTAATCTACATAGTAACAAAAGTATGTAAATATGTTGCTTTGGTGTCAAAAATAAAATGTATTATTGCAAAAGGAAAGAAAAAAAAATAATTTAAGGGAAAATTATGCTAGTTAGTGTCATGCCTTTAACAACCTAGAAGCCTTTGCATGTACAGATGAACTCACAGACAGCCGACATTTTGGCCCTCGCCTTTCAAGGTCAGCAAGGATTCAGGACGTAGGAGAACCTGTACTATAACATCATGTAGCTCAATGGTGTCCCAAATTTTCTGATCAAGGAGATTATGGGGCCACAGAGAAAAGGACCGATGATGTAGAGTGTACCTAAGGAGAGTCACATGGAGAGGAAACATTCTCTCAGGCTTTCAGAGGGAGCAAATTGGTCAAGCATTGGCCGTGACTCATCCACATGGCTGACCCTGACAAAGGATCTACAAACTGCGGTACAGGGTTTCAGGGTAAATCCTGAGAGAACTTGACTGACCTTGTCAGATACAAAAGCTATATTTCTTGTTACTTAGGTCTTGCTTTATCTTGGTCTTAACCATCCAGCAGAAAAGTATGAAAATGAAGTATAAAAAAATAAAGCCATATTAATATGCTGAGCTGTGAAAGGCTCAAGTCAACAACTTCGAACATTGCCAGTTTTACGGAAAACCTACTATTATTATGGACTACTGTACTATATTGGGATATTTTGCTGAATTCCAGCACCTACAGTATTTAAATGACAATAGAATGCCCTTCTCTGACAAAACTAACCAAAAAAGTGGGATAGAAATGAAAGGCCATTTTGTATCTGTATGCTCAATATAGTTAAGCTAGAAATACAGCTCCATTCTCTTAATTCAATGAATAGAAAGGTTTGTTCTAATAGTGTTTGAGAAAGGATATCATGTCTGCATGTTGTACAATGAATAACCACTAAGACAACAATATGTAGTGTATG